TGTGGTTGCCGCAAGCCCGCTGGACGCTCCTTCGTCGAATCCGCCGGCCGCGCCGTTCTCAAGCCCGCCCGCCTCCGCTCACTCAAGGCCGCTGTGTGTGATGCTGTTTTGTTGTGAAAGCGAAACTATTTTGTTTGGTCTTCCAAAAGAGGACACGACTAGAAATCAGTGGTTAAGGGCTGTGATATACTTGCAGAGGTTTGAATTGGTGCCTTTTGTAGTGAACAAATGTGGGTACTTTGTATAAACGTTTGAGCACTCTAGCTCAAAAATTCAGCGAGTTACAGATGTTGAAACAAAAAGTGTTACAACCATACCCGGTCTCCCCCTATATAATCTGTTACCTCAACAACATCCACAAAACATCTTTAAAATGTTGCAGATAAAATGTTCTAGCTTTGTTAATACGTCACATTACAAGAACGTTTTATAAAAACATTACACAATCTCAAGTCTCAGTGATGTTCCTATAACGTTCTCCTAATGTGGCTGAGAGAATGTTCTTCCTTCGTTATCTTGAAACATTGTAACAATGTTTTATTGATAACATTATATAATCTGTTACCTCAACAACATCCTCAAAATGTTGCAGGTCAAATGTTCTAGATTTGTTTACACTTAACGTTTTAGGAACATTATCTGAAATTAAAAACATTCTTAAAACATTTTTGAACATTACATTCAAACGTTTTCTCTAAACCATCAACCAAACCTGTACGGAATGTTAGCCAAAGTTATGAGAACATTCCCTGCTAGCTGGGTAAGCTTACCAATCTCTGTTTGTTCACTTTATTTTAATGCATTGTTTTTTCCTTTGTCTTTTTCTGTGCGGCACCCCTTTCCCTCCTCTATTCATTTGTGATTGTGTTTGTGACAATAAAGGGTGAGCTGCTGAAAAAAAAAAAAAAAAAAAACGGCTAAAACCAGCTTAAGCTGGTTGGCTGATCTTAGCTGGTTTAAGCTGGAAGTATGGTTTTAGCTGGTCTCCCAGCCTGGCCAGCTGAAGAAGTGGATAAAACACCTCTAAAACCAGCCTGCAAAATAGCTCAAAAAGTCAAAGGTTAAAACGTGTTTTTTTTTTCATTAGTTTTGTGCAAATACGCTTTTGATTATTTATAACATTTTGTTAATTACAATTTTCAGAGAGAGAGAGAGAGAGAAGAAGAAGAAGAAATTCAACAAGACGCTCATACAGTAATAGGGGACTTTTATTTTGACACGATGATGTGACGTGCTCCTGTGACCACGCCTAGCAAACCGAGCCACACGATCGTCTGATTGATCAGCGCTTTGCCGTTCATTTAAAGCGCGTTTATTCTCGATAGTTCTAAGCATTCGCTTTTAAGAGGCTTTTAAGAGCTTGTCGCTGGGGAAAAAGGTAGATAAACGTATTCCTTTCTCATGTCAGTGTGATTTAGGTTCAGTAGAGGACATTTGTTTATTTGATTAATTCTTTCAGGTTAACGCACAATTAAAAAATAAAAAAAAGAAAAAAAAGAATATATTATTTAGTATCTATTTTAACACTAACATTGTCCAGCCTCTATAAAATCCAGTGCTTTTGAATAGCATCACTCGTTATGATGTTCACAGGTGCCTAGAACTCGACTTTAAAATGTTCAATTTGTATAAAAATACATATATACATAAAAACTCTTCTATAACATTAAACTATCAGTATTTCTTTTAACACCAAAAGACAATAAATAAATAAACAAACTGCTGATCCAAGCAGAAGACACATATTTGTAATTATAAACAAAGGTGTTAGTAGTAGAACGCACTTCTAGATTTAAACAGGAGGCGAAATATACCTTCAGGGCTGTGCGATGGGACTTATGAGTTTTGTTATTACTAACGCTTTACAATAAAGTTTTTTACATAAACATTTGATTAAGTACCATGAATTAGCGAATATCTTTTTTACACGTTTGTCCATCTTGGTTAATGTTAAATTATAAATAATTAATACTCATGTCCATTGTTAGTTAATGCCTATTTATAACAAGAGTAATAATATAGATCATATGCTACTTTATTGTATTATTAAAAATGAATTGGACCAATTATGTTTGCTATATTAATATTAATGTGCATCTGATAGACAGATAAACTGTACATTCTTATTTCAGGGTTATTGGTTATGTTATGATTATTTTAACAAACAGTTTGCTTCGTACATTAAGTTTAACAGCATCAAGTTAAAGAGGGTAAACTTTATAATTCAACTGAACTGTGCAAGTCCATAACATAATTAATAATCAAGCCTTATCTAAGGGGAAGTGCGGAATTAAGATCTAGACATTCATTGTAACAAAGTATTTAATATGCAGGCAAGTGTGTCTGTTTTTATAAAAGTGTCCCTTTTTATGGAAATACCATAATCTTTTAACACGAATGATATAACAGGATATGTTACGAATATTTAAAATGATATAAATGTGTTTTATTTTAAGAAGTCACATGATTGGTTATGTAATGTTAATGTATTTTTGCATGTATGATTGTTTGAGTGATGGAGAGGGTCTGGCATGGCCGGTGCTGTCACACAGGTGCCTCATAAACTGAGAAGCATTGGATCCAGCCTCTCACACCCAAACCCACCTTATGGCCTCCATCTACCCGCCCTCATTAGAGGACTCAGCTGAGGTGAAGGAGGGCTTCCTGTGCCCTCTCTGTTTGAAGGACCTCCAGTCGTTCTACCAGCTACAAGGCCACTATGAAGAGGAACACTCCGGTGACAACCGGCACGTTGGTGGTCAGCTGAAAAGTAAGCTGGAATAGTCTCTTAAGTCTTAAGATTGATGTCATTTCTCACAGTCCATTACTCAGGGGAATAAACAAGAATAGTCTGCTTTGTCACAGTGCTAAACGTATTACAAGCTGTGTTCCATTCGATCGTAAGTGCCATATGAAGTGGACGTCACAGTTTATTCTCCCATCTTACGTGAGATTCCAGTCCGAAAGGAGTGTACATGTTCAGTTTACCCACCAGTCATTGTGCACTACCCCAGTACTGCAAGAAGTCTGACTAAAATAAACTCAGTCAAAATTAATTGAAGCTTCTTTTATTGAGTACACTTAGTCCCAGGTGTGATTTGTATGCAGTTGTTCATGGGTATAAAGTGCACGAGATGTGTCTGTTACCATGTAACTATCATGAGTACGGTTAAATTAGATGTAACTGTATTAAGCTGGTTGGCTGATCTTAGCTGGTTTAAGCTGGAAGTATGGTTTTAGCTGGTCTCCCAGCCTGGCCAGCTGAAGAAGTGGATAAAACACCTCTAAAACCAGCCTGCAAAATAGCTCAAAAAGTCAAAGGTTAAAACGTGTTTTTTTTTTCATTAGTTTTGTGCAAATACGCTTTTGATTATTTATAACATTTTGTTAATTACAATTTTCAGAGAGAGAGAGAGAGAGAAGAAGAAGAAGAAATTCAACAAGACGCTCATACAGTAATAGGGGACTTTTATTTTGACACGATGATGTGACGTGCTCCTGTGACCACGCCTAGCAAACCGAGCCACACGATCGTCTGATTGATCAGCGCTTTGCCGTTCATTTAAAGCGCGTTTATTCTCGATAGTTCTAAGCATTCGCTTTTAAGAGGCTTTTAAGAGCTTGTCGCTGGGGAAAAAGGTAGATAAACGTATTCCTTTCTCATGTCAGTGTGATTTAGGTTAGGCCTGCTGACAAACTAACAGACAGGCAAGCATGTTTACAGTAGAGGACAGACTGCACATTTGTTTATTTGATTAATTCTTTCAGGTTAACGCACAATTAAAAAATAAAAAAAAGAATAATATCTATTTATTATTTAGTATCTATTTTAACACTAACATTGTCCAGCCTCTATAAAATCCAGTGCTTTTGAATAGCATCACTCGTTATGATGTTCACAGGTGCCTAGAACTCGACTTTAAAATGTTCAATTTGTATAAAAATACATATATACATAAAAACTCTTCTATAACATTAAACTATCAGTATTTCTTTTAACACCAAAAGACAATAAATAAATAAACAAACTGCTGATCCAAGCAGAAGACACATATTTGTAATTATAAACAAAGGTGTTAGTAGTAGAACGCACTTCTAGATTTAAACAGGAGGCGAAATATACCTTCAGGGCTGTGCGATGGGACTTATGAGTTTTGTTATTACTAACGCTTTACAATAAAGTTTTTTACATAAACATTTGATTAAGTACCATGAATTAGCGAATATCTTTTTTACACGTTTGTCCATCTTGGTTAATGTTAAATTATAAATAATTAATACTCATGTCCATTGTTAGTTAATGCCTATTTATAACAAGAGTAATAATATAGATCATATGCTACTTTATTGTATTATTAAAAATGAATTGGACCAATTATGTTTGCTATATTAATATTAATGTGCATCTGATAGACAGATAAACTGTACATTCTTATTTCAGGGTTATTGGTTATGTTATGATTATTTTAACAAACAGTTTGCTTCGTACATTAAGTTTAACAGCATCAAGTTAAAGAGGGTAAACTTTATAATTCAACTGAACTGTGCAAGTCCATAACATAATTAATAATCAAGCCTTATCTAAGGGGAAGTGCGGAATTAAGATCTAGACATTCATTGTAACAAAGTATTTAATATGCAGGCAAGTGTGTCTGTTTTTATAAAAGTGTCCCTTTTTATGGAAATACCATAATCTTTTAACACGAATGATATAACAGGATATGTTACGAATATTTAAAATGATATAAATGTGTTTTATTTTAAGAAGTCACATGATTGGTTATGTAATGTTAATGTATTTTTGCATGTATGATTGTTTGAGTGATGGAGAGGGTCTGGCATGGCCGGTGCTGTCACACAGGTGCCTCATAAACTGAGAAGCATTGGATCCAGCCTCTCACACCCAAACCCACCTTATGGCCTCCATCTACCCGCCCTCATTAGAGGACTCGGCTGAGGTGAAGGAGGGCTTCCTGTGCCCTCTCTGTTTGAAGGACCTCCAGTCGTTCTACCAGCTACAAGGCCACTATGAAGAGGAACACTCCGGTGACAACCGGCACGTTGGTGGTCAGCTGAAAAGTAAGCTGGAATAGTCTCTTAAGTCTTAAGATTGATGTCATTTCTCACAGTCCATTACTCAGGGGAATAAACAAGAATAGTCTGCTTTGTCACAGTGCTAAACGTATTACAAGCTGTGTTCCATTCGATCGTAAGTGCCATATGAAGTGGACGTCACAGTTTATTCTCCCATCTTACGTGAGATTCCAGTCCGAAAGGAGTGTACATGTTCAGTTTACCCACCAGTCATTGTGCACTACCCCAGTACTGCAAGAAGTCTGACTAAAATAAACTCAGTCAAAATTAATTGAAGCTTCTTTTATTGAGTACACTTAGTCCCAGGTGTGATTTGTATGCAGTTGTTCATGGGTATAAAGTGCACGAGATGTGTCTGTTACCATGTAACTATCATGAGTACGGTTAAATTAGATGTAACTGTATATAATAATAATAATAATAATAATAACTGTTAAATGCACATGGATGTATTATACGCTAGAAGACTTTTCAGAAGTCTCTTCTGCTCACCGAGGTTGTCTTTATTTGATCCAAAATACAGCAAGAATGATAATATTGAGAAATATTTTTTGAATTCAAAACAACTGTTTTCTGTTTGAATGGATTTTTAAAATGTGATTTATTGTTCATGTGATCAAAGCTGTATTTTCAGCATCATTACTCCAGTCTTCAGTGTCACATGATCCTTCAGAAATCATTCTGATATGCTGATTTGCTGCTTATGCTTATTGTTATTGTCATTGTTGCAAACAGTTGTGTACAGTTTTTCAGGATTCTTTGATGAATAGAAAGTTCAAACGAACAGCATTTATTTTAGCATACCCAATTATATTCATTTAATAATTTCAAAGAAGTTAAACCTAACATTACTTTTGGAGATTTGTCGTGAAGATCTTTGACCACAAGTGTTGTCAAATGTGTTTAGTAGACATAAACTGTTTCGCTCATTCACGCAGGGACACACGATAAACAGGCTTAATGGCGACTGACTGGCTGTTTTATTTCTGCTGTGTGATAGACTGTTAGATCAGTCCATATTGAGGAAAACTGTCCAGAGCTTATCATATTTATCTACATACATTTTATTGCGATCTTATCGCCCAGCTCTAGATACAGGATGTTTTAATAAAACACAGGACAAATAATTTAATATTGTTATCCTCAGTGTTGGGGATAATGCATTACAAGTGATGCGAGTTACGTAATCAGATTACTTTTTTCAAGTAACTAGTAAAGTAACGCATTACTTTTTAATTTACAAGAAAATATCTGAGTTACTTTTTCAAATAAGTAACGCCAGTTACTTTTTTTCCCCATTTATTGATTGAAAGCTCTCCTGTCCCCTTGTTGAGAGAAATCGGGAGTAAGATGTTACTACTTTAGTTCTATGTGAACATGCATTAATTCATCTCACAAAACAAAAAAAAATCAGATTTAGTTTTCCTCAAAATGAATAAAAACAGTTAAAAGCAACTCAGAATATGACTCAAAGCTGCACTGATTAAATATGTTCAATAATACAAATATCCTTTATGTATTTAATCCCATTTTATTAACTAATTTGCTGCTGACCTTCAGTGATCCAATTCAACCATACTAATAAGCAAAAATTACTC